ATATGTTCAATTAATATTCATTTATATTCTGTTGATTTAACAAACTTCGTAGATATGTTATTAAGACTGGAACAAGAACAGCTGTCAATATAACAGCAGCTACAACAGTAGCTATTAAAGTTGGTAATAAATAACGTTTAGCCCAAATTTTACATTTCCTATAACTATAAAAAAATATAATTTAAGAAATGAAAAACTGAAAGAATGGTTTATATACATACTCTCTTCTTGGTCGAATTGTTCTACAATCTTCAATGTTAATAATAATGGCAGAGGAGGGTGATACTTGTCTGCCATAAGGGGAAAAACTTGAATGTCGGCTAACTATCATTTGAAAAGAAATGAGTTAACTACAGTTAATCTTGTAAACAAACGAACAATTGTAGTTATTGATTCTATGTTAAAATAGGAAGAAACAAATTTAATAGACTGAAACAAAAGTGAAATATAAAATGAGATGAATTTATTATATGTATATAAATTGAAATTTTAGATTACCATTTATGAGAACAAAAAAAGAAACAAACTTCAGTAATGTAGGCGTATCATAGCTGTCACAGAGTTTTATTTTTCATCAGTACAGTCATTATGACAGTTTTGTCATATTTAAGCTTTATTTTGTATTTTTTCTTTTCTTCAAATGGATTTTTCTAGTTGTTATGTTATTTCGCAATAGTTCGACATAATCTATTAAATAAAATAATAAAACAGTAACATGCTATGTGGACGTATTTGAAACTATTTATTTTAGTGCTAGCTAGTTTTTATTGTATATGAATACATGATAGAAGATTGGTTTGTAGAAAAAAAAGCAGAATACAATGTTATCATTGTATATTTTGGAAAAAGAATAATCTAGAAAAAAAAAGAAAAATGTAAATAAAAGTTTTTGTGTATTGTATTTGTATGTACGAAAGATCAAATAGAAATAGAGATATGTATACTTTTATTTTAGAAAAAATACACAAAAAAAAAGAGAGTACACTAGAATCGGTCAATGTGTCCGGTCGACCGTTTATACGGTAACTTTTGAAAGGCTCATCCAATTGTCATGAAATTTTGTACATACAATGATCTCATCAATATATCACAGTGTCGAAAAACTCGTATACGTTAATAGTGTATCTGTGTGATATTCGTTTGTTCTCCATAAAGTCAATGTTATTTTTATGTACTCGAAAAGTGATATTCATGATAGATTGATTTTTCTTTAAAATTCAAACTTAAGAAAATAACAAGAAGAAAATGAGAAAAGAAATTATTTTATTTGTTAAATGAAACAATGATTATTAAGAAATTGAGATATTTATGTGTTTCTACTTGATTTAAGATTTATAAATAGATTGAAGGAAGACAACTTTTTTCGAATTTATCGCTACTCAAATATCACTAATATCTTAATTATTTTGTTTTAAACTGAATGTAATTTTCTGAATAACTATATTTATTTCTTTGCACAAGGATTAGTGCAGGTGTAATGACTTGCTAATCGGCATAAGCTCGTTTATTTTGAGTTATATCTTCAGTAACGTATCCATTCCTCGTTCTGGTTTTGGTGTACATTATATAAACTATTTAGAACAAAATAAGAACGAAGAAACAAAATAGATGTCCGTTTTCGCTTTTTGAAGTATACATAACACTAAGATACAAATCCGAAATTTTCGCAATTTTTCTTCATAGAAATCGAATATTTCTTCTTTCATATTAGTTTTTTTTACAGTTTGAATAGAAAACTATTTATTTCAAATAATGCAACTAGGGATGTGCAGTGTCAGTGAAAATACTGAAAAACTGACACTTAAAATATCAGTTCGGTGTCCACCGTGCCACTGAAATATCAGTGTCAGTGCTCACCGAACACCGAAT